TTGGAAGATTCATCATTTAAGGAGAACTTTTTCTGATCCTGACAAGTTGAATCATTAAACAACAAACTTCATATACTTTCTGTTGAAAAAAAAAAACATTAATCCTGCATATTTGCCTTTATTATTCGTCTCTGAAGAAACACTCACAAAATCAATTTCTTTCTTTCTGGTTTTACAGGTTTTTTAGCGCCACAAAGCTTCCTCACGTGACCCTCCTTCTCCTCCTCATCCTCCCGCGTGTGTTGGTGCTCGCGCCCCGCCGCAGCGGCTCCACTCCGGGCTACAAATCTCTGCCGCTGTGGCGCCAACAGATGGAGCATCAATTTGACTCCATCCTCGACACCGTGAAAGATTGATTTTGCACTTGCTTTTAATTTTGACCATAATTAATTGGATCATTACGACTGTTTCTCATCGACTCCCCAGTTTCAACGTGAAATTACAGCCTGATCTGTTTTTTTATTTGTTGTTTTGAGTTATTTTTTTATTATTTTTTTAAAAGTTATTTTGAAAATGAAATAGAACTTCTTAAAACAATCTCATCAGGCTTAGATGCACCTGATATTTGCAGCATTTGTAATTAAATAATTCAAATTTATTAGAATTTATAGGGGTTAATGTAATTTTTTAATGCAGTTATTTTTAAGAAAATGCAAAAATAAATAAACAAATAAAAAGTTGTTCTTGCTCATTTTTTAAACAAATCCAATAGATTTATACACATTAAATAATCAACCAAAATGAATAAAATATAACTTCTATATAAAGCATTTGAGTCTGTGTTTTTCCTTGCAAGTTGAAGCAAAAAAAATCATATTTGGAAGCTTTTTATTATTAATTTTTAAACCAGATTTTTAAAATGAATTACTAAATATCTATAAGCTGTAAATTGGCCATTTATTGGCAGCACGTGACCTACATTTCCAGCCATATTGCTGCTCTGTGTGCACCAGCTCAGATCAACCTTTGATGGGAAATCGTCAAAAATTAAGAACAGGCGTAAAAGTCAGTGTGAGAGTTTAACAGCTGCCAGGCTCGTATTTCAGATGATAAAACCCACACAGGAAGGAAAAAAAAAWTCTCTATATGTCACCTGAGGGAAAAAAAAACTCAAATTCTATAATGTGCTGTTTTCATGAGGGGTGAGCAAACATGAACTTGTMTTGGCAACAAAATAATCCAGTTTGTGAGTTTTTCCCCCCTCATCAAATTAATAAATCGAAAGAAAATCTCACCATTAGTGTTGCATTTTGACTCAACTGACTAAAAAGAGACAAACGGTGCTTTATGTCTCCCAGCATGCTTTGAGATGCTAAATTGGGAACTAAAACGTGGGCTCCTCATTCATTATGCAGATTTGCAAGAAACTGTTAAATGGGCCCTGCAGTGCTGAATTAAAAATAGGACTGTATCTTGTCATTTTCAAAAGTATTCTCCATGTTGCATCTTTTTTTTTTAATCCTTTATTGTATTGGGAACAAGAACTAAATCCCTTCTCTTCCCCATCAAACTTTCCACATGAATAGTTAAATGTGTGCCCCTCTGGTTAAAGCAAAGGCATCAAAAGTTAAAGTCAGACTTTAAAAAAAAAAAAAAAAACATTTCTGTCTTTTAGAAAAAAATAGCTCGCATGTCAGTCCAGTTGTGACCTTTCCTAAAGTCTTACTCTTTGGACGAACAGTTATGAAACATCGTTTTCAACAACCAGCAGACCTGCAGGAAGTCTGTCTGTCAGGGAGGGGAAGAAGCTGAGCCAGGCCTCCCGTAAGGCCCTGTGTTCATCGCTGTGGGAGAAGCAGGATCCTTCAGTGGATCAGTCTTCCTCTCTGTGTGTGTGTGTGAGAGAGTGTGTGTGTGTGT